TCTTTTCTTTTTTTTTCCTTTTTTCCTTTCTCATTTTTTTTATTCAGTTCTTTTTCTTTTTGATTTTAGTTAGATTATTTAAAAAGTTATATTTATCTAGAAATTAGAATATAAAATTTTTTTATACATTACAATATTTAACTAATTAAAGTAAATATTTTATTTGCTTTCACAGAGAGAGATATGCTAAACCAACTTGGGAAACTCCAACTCCTGAGAATTATAAATTAATTGATTCTGATGTTGATGCTTTTGTTAAAAGTATGTTGCCAATAACTAAAACGGCCATGTTTAATAAATTTTGTACGAATGATGCCTATCAAGCTTTACAATATTTAGCTGCTATGAGACCGAATTTAGTAATACCGGACATATTAGAAAGAATGCAGTCTACATTCGATTCTTTGACCGAACCACATAAACTTACAGCATCGATAATCTGTATGGTAGCCATTGCCAAACCAATGGTACAAGGTTCTAGGAATATAAACGAAGGTATAAAACTTATTTCTTGCTGTGTTGTTCATATTTGTGTTGTGTTCATATTTAATGATGAAATAAGAATTATTAAAATAAGTTATTCATACTTCTTTATTTATAACTTTACTTTTTTTTACAGGTTACGTCTATTCGGAAGGTCCAATGCATGTATTGCCGCTACTGTTCTCCTTGTTACCCGGAATTGATGCAAATGACATTGGAAAAAGTTTTGCTACGTTCCGTCTAATTTCCGTTTACGCTATGTTGATTCCCATTGTGGATTCTTCTAAATCGACTGCGATTATGACCGAAGAAGAGAGAATCATTTGCGAAGCAACATCGCGTTTTGAAGACTTTATATTGCAGTTTTTCGATAGGATATTCACCTTTATAGATTCTAGTTCGTCGGAGAACGTGCGACTCGAGAACAACGACGGTAATTCGAAGAGTAAACTTGAATCGATGGTGGAAGTGGTGCTTTCGAGTCTGTGCGTGGCTCTCTTGAGACAACTCAGCGATGCGATTTTTAAGAGCGCTCTACATAAATTACACAAATTCGTGACGGAACGTATCCTCGAAACCAAGATTGCTGGCAGACTAGTGGCAGTTGTATGCAAATCTTTTTCCCGTGTCAACGGACATGATACCCTACGTACGTTATTGCCTGTATTTGCGGATATAATTTTGCCATTGATAAACGAGGATGATATTCTGAAGGAAGAGAACTTGGATCATCGTCTCTCATATGCCCTGCTCATACTATCATCAATCGTTGACACGCCCGGCAACAATTTAATACCGCATATGGATACGTTGTTCGAAATCCTCGATCGTGTTCTACTTCTGAAATCAATAGACGGCAATGGGCTAGCCTGTTCTCTATTAAATTGTATTCTATCGTCATTATCGAATGTCACTCCATGGCAATGTAGATCCAAACAAAGAGATTTCAACGATCCTAATTATCCTTATGTTAGAGATTGGGGTGAAAGAATAGATGTTGATGATGTTAATATCAAATGGTATGTTCCCGGCGAAGAGGAGATCGCTATTGCACAACGAATATTCTCAAGATATTTGCCAACTCCAATTGATACACTTAATGCATATTGCAAAGATACCAGCATGTTAAGTAGGTCAGTTTATGTGATTTTCAAATCAAATCTTGAAATACCACTTTACAAATGCAAAATAAATACATATTTTATATATACATAATATAATAAATCAATATAATAGAAATATCCATATGACAAATATACATGTATATACATGTATAATAAAATATATATTTTTCTCTTTTTATTTTTTAATATTTATATTAAATAAAGCTAAGTAAATAATTGCAGGGAAGAGCTGTTTGCCTGTTTGAATATTGTACGCAGCATTATTAGAGGTACCGAATCTATCCTACCAGTATGGACAGAAACACCACTCGAATTAATCAAATCTTCCGTAAAGCGAAGTGTTATAATTCCCACGTGTGGAGTGAAAGGACATATCACAATGCCTGATGGCAGCAATGTAAGATATTATCTTGCCGGGATCATGAGCCAAGTCCAACGAGCAATGCTTGAGAAAGCAGAGGATAATACAAAGAGTTTTTTTGAATTAATACGGGTGCGTATGTATATATATATCAAATAAATCTTTTGTATACAGGTTGATATGTTTTACTTTGCAAGATGGATTCTTTCCTAAAGTTATAAATAAATAAAATTTTATATCGATTTTATATTGAAGTTTTAGCATGAATCTATACTTCGTATATCAAATATTTTTCTTGTATTACAGATTTGGTCTAGTCTGTTATTAGGAAAGGTACGGTTGTACGAATGTACCTATGAGAAACGATGCAAAAATTTCTTGATTGTCAAGGATACATTTGAGAATAAATTAGTAAAAAAGAAAAGTTATATAGGTGCGGTGATAACAGAACGTTGTGATATGCAGCACGAATTGAGACTTATTGCGCAAACGTTTACAATTACGGAAACCCATAAACGAATAATATTAGAACTTTTTACGCTGGCTGTAAGCAGATACGCAGATGTTCGATCAAAAGCACAAGCCAGTCTCTTGTCTACTTTTAAACATGTTCCATTTTCTTATTCGTTTATAATTCCTCATCTTCTCGATATTTTAGCGAGAGACACAGAGAAACATCACGATGCGTACAAGGTAATAGTAAAATAAAATTGTCACATAAATAATTATTTATGGAGAAAAAACATAGATACTAATTTTTTTTTTAATTTGAAAACAGGGTGCTCTATATATGATTCTCGGATCCCAAAATATTACTCTTATCACAGTAGATGATTTTAATACAGTGGCATCACTGTTGTCAGCCATTGTACTTTCTAAGCCATCTGAAAAGCTCTCTGTGATCCGCCTAAAACAGAATATCACAGACTTTATGAGTAAATGTTTCTATCTGAATTTGCTCGAAGCCGAAATATCCGAAACATGTTTGGAAGCTGCGTGCGCTTTGTGGAAACTTGCTCCTCAGCCGACTTTGCCGCAGCCTAATGAGAATGAAATACAGGAAGGAGCAGAGAATCTGAAGCAACTCCGTCAATCTAATCTGGCGACGTATACTCATCTGCTTGACGAACTTTTACGTTGTATACTCGAGGAATCGTTGCATTGGCGGCACAGATTAATGGCAATGGTTTTCATACGAAACTTGGTACATCCAAATCATGCATATTCCGTAAAATTAGTGCGTTACTTTCTGCAAGCGCTTATACATGATTCCCTAAGTGAAAGAAAGATTGCCATTAGAATAGTGACATTTATATTGAAACAACAAAAGCGGAAACATCCAAAGGTATACAAATTTTATTAGATTTCAAATAACAGTTGTTAATTATTTATATAAATTATATTGCGTGTATTGAAATGTTTATTCTCTTTTAAAGATAACAATTGATGTACGCAGCTTACTTGGTGAAAATACATCAAATGAAGAGAAAAAATCGCGGAATGTCACGCCCGGTATGAGAGCTGACAATTCTTGGCTTCAATACAATTACGAAACTCGTCCGCTGACTGCCGAACAATGGGATGAACCTAGATACATTCATCAGTTCCATGTGGGTTATTATGTTTGGCCAAAAACTTTGGAAGTATACGCACCTTCGTCTCAACAGCCCTGTCTTGATCCGGAAGTGCGCAAGTTTACGGATTGCGAAAAGGAGATTTGTTACTTCTTTGATGATCCGCAAAACATCGAAAAACTTATAAAATATTTCAGTCTGGAGGAGAAGAAGGGCAAAGATAAATTCAACGCGTTCAAGTATTTTCTATTTGAGGGCCTTTTTCGTAATCACGGGATCGTTTTTCTAAAGCATTTCTTGCCACATTTGCAGCGACTGGTGGTGGACAAGCACGAGAGCAGCCAACGATGCGCCGCAGAGATTGTGACCGGAATTATTAGAGGCGCCAAGCACTGGCCATTCCAGATGACATGCGACCTATGGCAGGTATTATTGCCTATCATAAGAACCGCAATCGCGAATCTTACGGAAGAGACTATCACAGACTGGGGTATGTGCTTCGGTTTGACGCAAGAACAAAGAGATCCAAACAGGCATCACTGGTTACTCGAATGTCTAATGGAGGAGCCTCCTTTGAAAGATTCATTTGTGGAATGCGGTCGCCTGTATGTTTTACAAGCCGCCTTGCATCAGCAGTCATGGCGAGTCACAGAATTGCTGCAACGTTTGTTGGTGCGCCTAGAAGATCGATTACTGGCCAATCCGTTTCAAAATGTCCGAAGACAGCTGGCGTCAGTGCTAGTCACTGTATTTTCAGCTGATCTTAGCTTTCCACGCGACACGACCGATAGTGCAACTCCACGAATGCGAGCTCTAATTGACAAGATTATACCGAAATTAGAGCGACTTATAAAAGATAACGATGCAATCAAACTGCAATCAGTCACTCAAAATTTCGATAATATGAACAATATAATAGAAAAGTTGGCTAACGTCCCATTCAATGAATCAGAAGAAGCGTTGATATCCGAAAAAGAACAAGAGATGTCAAAAAGATTGTTGAAAACTGTTTGTACATGGATTATCATTAGCCTGCAGCCTTCAGAGCATGCCACGATATTAGAATTTTATAAGATATTTGTAATCATATGTCAATTGGAAAGCTCGGAAGCAGATGAGGAACTCAATAAATTGTGTTTACGTACTTTGGCAATGCTTGCACAGGCGTTCATGTTACCAGAGAATATATCAGTAGCGTTGAATGCGGTGAAAACGGTATCTGAGCACTCATCATGGTCCACTAGGTTCGCTAGCTTGGAATTCCTTCAAGTATTAGTTTTCCATAATATGGGCATAATTCTTAGTAATGCATTATGGATTAACTGCGTTAAAGATATTGTTTTACACTTATTAGAGGATGTCTGTTTAGAAGTCAGAGAGAAGGCTAGCCAAGTACTTGGTGGGCTATTACACTGCACGCTTATTACAGATCAAGAGAATTTACTGGCAAGTTGCTAAAGATTGTTAAAATTTAATAATCCTTAATAATCTTAATTTGATAGATTCTAAGAAAATTTGAAACTTATTATATTTTTTATGCTTTTAGGAAGAGTTTAAAAGAAAGGCAAAGATCAAATTACAAAAGAAAAACAATTCTACCGATAAGAATGTATCGGATAACATCCAGATTAACGCAATGTGTATACGTCATGCTGGCGTGCTCGGACTTTGTGCTTTCATTCGTGCTCATCCATACGACGTGCCTGAGTACATTCCTTCAGTCTTTGAACATCTCGAACATCATATGCGTGATCCAGAACCTATACCAGTAATTCATTTTTATTATATTATTACATAATAACAATTTTTTCAATATCTTTTTTAAATACATACATGTATAAAGAGAAAAAAAAGAGAGGGAGCACAAATTATTAATTGTGTTTATCTGAGATATGTTACTTTAAATAGGGGCACATAATATTTTGGTTATGCTTGAAAATATGAAAAATATTTAAACATCATTTGATATATTTAATTATAATGTAGAAATAATATTTAAATATTAAAATTAATTATATGATTATTAACAAGATTTAATCAATTTTTTTAAATAAATTGTATTGTAGATGACAATAAGGAAAACTTTGAGTGATTTTAAACGGACACATTATGATGGTTGGACAGGAATTAAAGGTCACGCACAATCCTTTACGGAAGAGCAACTGGCCGTTTTAGAAGATTTAACAGTGCCGCCATCACATTATGCTTGATGAGAAATAATATATTTCACACTCAGAATTTATAGTTTTACTTAAATACTGATATGTGTTATTCTTTTCTTCTTTGTAATTATTTTTTTTTGTGATGTATATAATGATGAATATAATGATAATCAGCTTTCAAAGACTAATGAGATTATTAGATGTTTCTGATATATGTCAATGCTATTTAAGAATAAATTATTATACTATTATAAAAAATATATTATTCTTATATTATAATTATTAAAAAGATATGAATATATGTATATTATATATAAAAATAAAATTATATATTTGTTTTAAATATACATATATACGTATCAAAACTCATGAGAATTTCAGATTAATCTTGTAATCTTATTTCTATCAATTGCATGCCACAAAGAAACAATTATGAAGTGAAGTAGGAAAGACAATAGATGTGAATATCGACACATATCAGTATTTGAGTAAAATTATAAATTTTGGACAATATTTTTAGGACACAATGCGCAATATAGTGTTATAAATCATTGTAAGTGTAATTGCAATTGAATTGATTAGCTAATATAACAATTGTAATTACAATTGCAATATTGGTCAAAATGAAAAGTAAAATTTGTATTAATGTAATGTGAATATTATAGTTTCATTAAATGATATTTAAGCCGACAAGTATGTACTTGTTATTTTTAAATTTATATGAGATAAAACAAATATACTATGTAATATATTTATAATAAGATTTAAAATAAAATTATATAAAGACAAATATAAATTTATAACAAAAATTTCGTATCTCAGATTTTATATTAAATTTTATTACAAATATTAAATGAAAAAATCTTTTGCAAAAATAAAATTTGTGGCAGGTCGCCAAAATATAAATAATAGATTTACGCTGCGAAAGAATGCAATTAATAGGTTCGTTCACGTAAGCCATATTTTGTTGTCAACATAATGAATTACTCGATACATATAAATATGTATAAAAATGTATATGAGAGCAATGTATTAAAAGTGAACATTTCTTAACGAAGAGAATAGAAATATATTAACTCTGTTTACGATTTCGTTTCATCATGTTCAGATGTAATTTCGAGTTCGTGATGTGTTTTTTCAGATTCTGTCGTTTCTTTCGTTTCTACTGTCGCGTCTTGCACGGATATGAGATTTGATGTTGACGAACTCGCTTCTTGTTTCGTAGAAGAGTTGACTGAATCATCCACGACAGAATCATCATGGACGCTTTCAATGTCAGTTACAGCAGAAACTTGTCTATCATTATCTTCTAGTTCTTCTAGTTCTTCCAAGTTGCTCATTTCGAAGTCCGAGGGATATAAAGTGTCCACGTCTATTTGTGCCTAAATAAAAAAATGCTGTTATTATAAAAAATTGAAAACTTTATTAAATTATCTTACCGCTTCGATGAGATCAACGTCTTTGCTCTTGTAACGCAGATTTTTGCAGATTTGTTGAATCTGTTTGGGATCTAAACCTATTTCCACCAATGACATCAACACGTCTCTCTCCGTGACGAGAAGCTCCGGATTTGCATCGATTAATGTCACTGATTTTTTGATGGCGTTCGAAGATTTCTCTATCTTCATCATTTTCTGAAAGGATTCTAGTTTTTCCATTATTTTATTCTCGTCCAGAATCTTCGGCGGTGTCGGCGGTCTGATCTCGGATATGGTCAATAATTTTTGTGCTTGGATCAAATCTTCCAATTCCTCATCTGTGTCTTCATCCGCTATATTCAAAGAGTCTTTTAATTTATATATCTCATATAGCATTTTATTCTGAAAAAAATAGAAAATTTATAAACAATGTCTCACAAAAAAGACAAAAATATATAAATGTTGAAAGATATCGATAATATTTGTTTATTGAAACACATCGGTCTTTTCATATTTACGATAAATAATTATTTTATTCTTCGTACTGTATTTAATATTCCTTTATATTGATCGATATGCTTTTCAAATACATCCTGCAGCTCTTTATCGGTATAAAGGCCTCTCTGCATTATCTCTTTAGTAATGTCATAAACAAATTTGATGTATTTTTTCTCCTCTTGTTTGGACGTGAGCTTTGATAGATGAGAATTAGTATATTGCTCATCAAAATCGTAACATTGCGAAACGCTTGATACTAAACGATGATCATTTATTTTCTGTCTTGGAGATCGAAATTTTGATTTAATTATTGGATATGACGCAAAAATTGTGCAAGAAATTGATAAACTGTGAGAATAAATTGTTCTCGTATATATCTATATTTTGTATATAAATAATAATGAGAAACAAATTAAATATAAATAATATATTTGAATCATGCAATTTTTAATGTAAGGAACGTAAATTGTAAATTGTAAATCTATATTTCAACTTACAATGACAACTTGAAGGGAATCAAGATGTAAGATAATAACTTAAAATTTTAATTTAACATTCAAGGCGAGCTCACCTTCGTGGTGAAAAACATGTCGATGGCCTGATTATATGAGAAATCTTTCGCGTACATTTTGGTTCTCTTTTACAAACAAAGTTTGGTACTAAAAATTTTTTACGTTTCGGCAAACGTACTCTGATTGGTGATATTCTTCTAGTTTTCGACATTAATCGTCGCCGACAATCCATTTGATTGATTGTCTCGTAATATAAACGGCGATTGCCGATTCTCGGTTGACGATCTGAGTTGCAATTACAACAATCCGAATGTTTTACATTTAAATCTATTCTTAATATATCCTGCGTGAAGTTAAAAAAGGAACTACAGTTTATTAATTTCAAAAAGACAAGAATTAATGTTCTTAATTCCAAAGATGAATTGATTAATATTTGTGAAAATTATGCTTTTCTTAAATTTGCATTAAGAAAAATTTAAATATGTTAATTATAAATATTTTACCATGGGATGGTGTTGAATATCATAGGCCAATTTATCAATCCCATCATCTATCGTTTCCAGACGCAAACAAACTCGGCTATCATTAATTTCCTGCACTTTGCATCGTCGATTTTTTTTCAAATAATTCTTATTTCTTGTATCAACTACACTTTTTGCTAATAAAATCCGTTGTAGATGCGAGCTCATTGCATTATACGCCGCCAATTGTTCGAAATAGTTCTGTCCCGTTGGATTATAAACTATTAACAATTTATGATTTTTAATATTGTAATTACAAATCAGAATATTCTTGTTGAACGTTAAATACTCACCGCTGCTTTTTAGATTAACCTCCTTCCTTATAAATCTTGTCATTTTTTTATCCGACGGAAATATCTGATGACTACGTTGCAAAAAATAATTGTTGGATAAAAGAAAGGTCTCTAAATTTTGGGCGACATATGTATAGAATAATTCGATGACAATTAAAAATTTGCCATCCTCCCCTTAGACAGAAACTGTGCCATGTTTGCCACTTATTCACCAAGTTTTGTTGACAGTTTGTCACTAAGCAACGAGCACGTGTTAAATTCTCATCGCTCTTGCCCTTATCAAAAAATATGCGCATAACAATTAGTAAAATTCATTTAAAAGAATTCAATAAAATATAATAAAATTCAATAAGATAACATTATATTTACGTAAATAAAATGAGGAACTGATGATTACATTTGGTTTGGAACGTGCGGTGAATGAGATATATAAAAAGATAATGTAGATGTTGTACATTAAATATCGACAAATGTTAAAATTGTTATCAAAATATTAACTGCACTTTGGTACACATTAGAAGACTTAAATACATATAAATCTGTCGTTTGATAAATCTGTCGTTCAATACTTAGTCAGTATAAAAATATATATATATATATTTTTTTTTCTATAATTCATCATAGATCGATAAAAACGCTAAAAATCTGTATGTTTCGATCTAGCCAAAGTATTTGTTGGAAGTTTCTGTATTCGATAGATAGTGCCCTAAACGATCTTCAGTCTGATCTCGTAGGAGTTCTTGTATGTATATTGTTGTTAGTCTTGTAGAGGTATACTTGTGCTAAAATAGCAACATCAATCGTGACTTGAACGGCACCACACACTTGAAATTGCACGGGAGTGTCCCTCAAAATAAAATAGCATGTCTTAAAAATATCTCCCACAGTCCACATCGCTACCATAGCTATGCTAAAAAAGATAGAAATTAAACAACTAAATTTATTATACATATAATTTATCTTTCTTTCTTTTTTTTAATCTAAATTTTATTTACCTCATTCCTACAGTCGATTTGTTAGACGAATTGCGAAGAAATTGAGGGACTCCTAGCATAGCTTCTATCAACACTGCTAAGAATCCAACAACTTCAATAAATATTGGAATATCCAGAAATAAATATGTTATCACACCGCCTATACTAGCGAATAGTACCATAAAGCCCAGATAGGACTTGAAGTCTGTCCATTTCCAAAAAAATCTAGCATCCAAATCTGCATAATACAAAAATCATGCCATTCATTAATGGAGATGTATATCAATGCTTATATGCAATATCTATGATAATAAAATTATTCTCACCTGTAAGTACACGTTCTTTTGTTTTGATTATCTGCGTCCTATTTTGTACATTAATACATAGCTTAATCATAACAAACATTGCCAGAATCATGAGTATACTTTGGAACAGCAGCGGAAGTTCATAGTGTTTGCCAAACCTATAAGAAAAATATACATATTAAAAGATTCATTTATGTCGTTTTTACCAATACAGATTAGCTTTAATTATGATTTAATTTATTCTTTACCTTTTTTTAATTTTAAATATTAGATTAAAATAAAGAATAAATCAAAATTCAAATTAATAAATCTAAGTAGACATGTGTGATTTTATTTTTCTTAGCAATAAATATATGTTAAGATGTATAAATATTTTTATATTTTATATTTATATATTAAAAAATATAAGATGTATAATATAAAACATTTTATGTGCATTGCTATCAATGTAGATTAATTTCAATTTCAATTTTTTATTTTTTTTCTAAGAATTATCCAAAATAAAAAAAAATTAAATGGAAATTAAAATTTATATATGATAGAAATAGATATAAAAATTAAAAAAAAGATAAAAACTAAATTAAATTAAAAATTAAATTAAAATTAAAGTTAATTTACATTACATGATAGAAACAGACATAGAAATTAGAAAGAGATAAGTAAATTAAGTCAAAAGCAAAATTAATTTACATTAAAATGAACTTAGGAATTAGAAAAAGATAAGGAATTAAATTGAACCGAGATTATAAAGTTAATCTACATGGGTAGAAATGGAATATATTAGAGAAAGATAAGAAATTAAATTGAACAGAGATCATAAAGTTAATCATACATTGATAGAAATGGACATAAAAGTTAAAAAAATGATAAGGATTAAATTGAGATTAATCTATATTGATAGAAATAGATATTAGAAGGTTATTAGAAGGATATTATGACATAAGAAATCTGACCTCTTATAGGCCACATACAAACCAAAACAGTATACGTAGAGTGTTGGCGATCAAGAGAGTGAGACAAACGTAAAGAGAGAATCCTTCGGCGTCCTCCTTCCTCTTGATCTCTTTATATTGCGGCACGTAGGGTATGATCGCACCAAATATCATCGCCGCGGACGCGATCCACCCGGCTACGTTTTTCAGGTTCAGCTCGTACGTGTCATCCATCGTCACGGACTTCTGCTCCTAGCATGTCGCGCACCCCGTCGTCAATCTATCGCAGGAAGAAGTGATAATTATACGTGACAACGATTAATGAGATCATACGTGCGAATTGCGATTTACGTTTTCAGGTTATAAGCCGGCCATTCGTTCACCGTTCTCGTCGTACCACATCACGATATCCACGATTCGACTGATTCGACTGCCAACCGACATGCGTCGATAGGCCGAATTTTATCGCGTATAGGGCGAGAGTGGCGAGACAGGTAAATGTCACGGTGTCATTTCGAATTTCATCTTTGACACGCCGACACGCGTTTCGGGGGACAAAGGCATATTTTTATTTGTTTTCAATTTCGTGTACCTTCCAACCGATCGCGTCGCGAGTATTACGCAGCAGGCGGTAGAGGTCGCTATGGTAACTCAAACGGAATTAAGAATGTTGGTAATTTATCGACCTTTCTGTCGTCTAGGATTTTTTACATCGGAGTTTGGTTATCTCTATCTCTCATAACTACTATGTATAAAAAAATATGATATATATTTATGTGCGTTTGTTATATAATATGTTATACGTTTGCTTCAATGTTAAATTGTAATATTGCTCATAATGTAAATATAAAATCAATAACTAATGAAAAGTTTCATAAAAGTTTTAGTTTCTAAAGTTAAAAGGCTTAGAATTATGATTTCTGCTTTACTATATTTTGAATTATACTTTAATATTTTATCAATTTTTATGAGTTTTTAAATTTTTCAGACTTTAATATTCTAGGATTTCTCAGAATTGAAATTTGTAAAAAATCCTTAGAAGGAAAATTTTTACAATTTGTTTAAGGCAACTTTTCGCCAATTCTATTTTTTTGCTTATTATATTTGTCTAAGATTTTTTTTAATTTTCGTGAATTTTTAGAGTTAATGTTGAAATATAAAAATATGAAATATATTTTATACAAGTTACACAATTCTTAAATTTTAAAGCTTTTGTTAATTTTAAGGAGATCTTATCGGAGATAAATTCCTTTTCATTCATATCACGGCCAAAATGCTGCGAAAAAAGCTATATAATTATGATATTTATAATCAGAATATTTGCTTGACGAAAGCTACAGAACGGTTTTTGTAAAAAAATGTGTGAAAATAAATAATTCATTTATGCGTAAATAGATTTGCACTATAAACAATAAGGTGCAAATATTTTCATCTATTGTAAATTTTTTTTAAAAGCCAAATTGCAAAACCGACTCTGCAGCAAGAGTGATAATTTTATAAAAAATACGTAGAAAAAGACTCGTGGCAGAATATTGCTTCTACGAGATAATATATGGGTGTACTCAAATATATATCTGCACTGTAAATAAGGAGTAGATAGTTACATTTATTTTAATTATTTAAGAGCTAAATTGCAAAATTGGTTGTAGGTAGCTTTGTAATTGTAAAAGAAATTATCTTAACAAAGTTCCATGGCGAAACATCGTTTCTATAAGACAAAATATAATTGAGTACAGATACATATTTGCACTATAAATAAGTAGTAATCATTTTAGATCAAGTCGGAATTAGCCCATCACTCCTGCCGACTACCAAAATTATGTACGATCGATAATAAAGTTTGTAATTATCTGCAGAGTCATCACGTTTTATTCAGTCGTTGATAAAAAAATGTAAATCATCTTTGGAGATCCTTGGAGATTTATAAAACGAGAAAAACAACAAACAGCCGAAGGTGGTTGAAGAGAACCCGATGCCTGATGTAAAACGCAGGAATGTGTGTAGAGTACAAGATACACAAGCTCACAGATGCGATTTGCCTTAATCAACAATGTTATAAATAGCGCAATATACATGGTTTCCAGTAATACATAATGATAATGATTCACTACTAATGATATTGATTACTCGATAAGACTCGATAACGACGTTACGCGTCTTCCCGCTTTATCGCTTAATTGGCGCACTCGGCTCGACGTAGAGCGAGTGTAATGAACGCGCCGGAACCCCCGGCCGACCAATTTTGATTCATCAACAGGTCGACCCGAGCGACCCAGAGTGTTGACGCGGTTAAACGAATTAATTCGTTTGTGCCACCCGCCACGACCAAGCGAGCGACTCGCGAGTAATCAAGTATGCTCATTAAATTAGCTCGGGAAGGGGGAAAACACGCTTTTGCATCGCGCTAATTGCAGTCGCAAAACAACACTGCACTTCTACAGAATCGTTTGATAAAGCTGCACGATAACAGTATTGTTGGAGTGTGGCTCAATTCGCAGCGTTAAATGTCAAAGGTAATGATTGTTGCGCTTCCACATGAACATGCATATTTGTGGTAATAATTAAAGTGTCTGATTACATTGGATGCAGATGCAGTGGTTAGCCCTGATGATATGCCTATACGCTGGAGTGGCCAGCGCGCGCACGGAGGAGGACCAGCAGACATCGAGTGCGAGCAGCGTCTCAAACTCCCTTCCAGAACAGTGTTTTTATAGGCACCAAACAGACTGTGTGAACTTGAATTCAAAGTGTCCTTGCAAAAGGATAACGCTTGCAAACATACCCGAAGGCAATGCTGCACTCTGCTGCAATACAGATCAACAGGCTCTAGAACATGGTCTTTCTTGCATAGGTAAGAACTATTATATGCAAAGCTTTTCTTTAAATCATTCAACATTATATATTTTTTAAGTACTTGAGTATTTGTTCAAGTACTTTCAATACTGTTCTAGGGTTCCAACATTCAAATATAAGTTATGTACACATACGTAACGCAACCTTGGATGTGTTTAATGTAAGTGAAGTTCGTTGGAGGATGTTGAAATCTCTGGCCATAACTGATGGCAAAATCAATAAACTGCGCGGGCAATTTCGTATGATGACGCCCATACAGTGTCTGAATCTCTCGAATAATGAGCTACGTGAGGTAGAGAATAATTCGCTGACACGATTGGCACAGCTGACCACTTTGGATCTGTCTTATAATAAACTCACTTACCTTCCAGCTTTAAATACGATGAACGGCCGAGAATTCTGGTTAGACATCTCGGGTAAACAAGTTCGCGTTCGATATTGTTATCTTGATTAAACATATACTTATTAACATGTCATCTTTCTTTTCCTCTATAGGAACAAATATACTGTCATGTCACGATGTGTATCAGTATATCAATAAAACGGGCGAAAAGCAAATTACGTTTAATCGTGAGAATGAGACGGTGTGTTCCTCCTTGGCAACGTGGCATTGGTTCAACACCACTGAGCAAGTGCCTCTTTCACAGGTTCTTTACCTCAGTTTGGTATGTGTCAATATGTAATATGTAATATGTGTATAATATGTGTATATGTATAATGTTATGTAGAACCTCACATATGGGATATAATCAGAATTGGCCTTGGCTTTCAGTTGCAAACAGAATGTCCAAAAGGCGACACCTGGCAATGTCAATGCAATATCGTGAGGCTTGACATTATTGAAGGCAAGCCACCTACACATGCTGTAAATGTAGATTGCAGCGGCATGCAGTTGTTAGAATTACCTGAGAAATTACCCCAAAATACTATATATCTTAATGTTTCCTACAATAATGTATGTGTGAACTGTTAGTAAGATTCTATCAGATTTATAAATTGAGCTTCTATAAGTCCTCGGAATCTTTTTTCTTCAGATTACCATTCTAGATGATCTCAGTACTAACCCATATTATGAAGATTTACGAGAATTCTATGCGGATTATAATAATATTTCCTCGATAAACAAATTGGAAGGTTCCAAATTTTTAGATAATTATGCCATGCTGAGTTTGCGATACAATAAAATTAAATCAGTGAGTAAAGAAATATTTCTATTTTCGTAACTAAATGCGTTTGCAAACACTAAATATAATAATGTTTTTTCAGCTGCCAACATATATATTAAGTCCAAGCGCACATGATAAGAACTTTATGACTACTTTTTCGAGGAATCTAGTGAGATTAGGAGGTAACAAGTTGCATTGTGATTGTAACACCGCTAAGCATTTGAAGGTATTGTGCAATGTTTATAAAAGGCATACAAATATGAGATATAATATTATAAAGGAGTTTTCTTCTTTCTCTTTTTTTTTAGGCATGGCTACAAACGCGAATACTCGACTCCGATGAAGTAATGTGCGAAAATGTAAAAGAAAAAGTTGTAGACTTAGAACCATCAAAGATGTGCGTGTATCCAGGAGATTGGACGGATTACATATATTACATTATTGCTACCGAAGTGATACTTTTGATAGGTTTAATAGCCAAAGTATCTTATGACTATTGGGTGTTCAAAACGGCAGGATATCTTCCATGGCCAGCGAATAAAATGCCAAAGTTGCCATGCGATTGGTTGTTCGAAACATAGATAGTGAGAATTTCTAACATATGATGAAACGAATGTACAATACGATTCTTCTTTTTATAGGATATAAATGTGCCTTTATAATGTGTTAGACTACTTTATCGAGTATCTAATGCTGTAAGATTTTTATCTAGCTCTTCCAATCCAGAGAGAATAGGATTTCGAAATAATCTGTGTATAAGAAGTCCATGACAAGTATTTTGGTAATATTCAATTAGAGAATATGTGCAATTATCAAGAAATGTCATTGTATGAAATTTTATATATAATTTTATATATAAGTGCTGTGAGTAAATTATTTACACTTTAATTTCTGAGTCTTCTTTTGTAATTTTTTAAATTCTCTGCTTTTACAATACAAAATCTCTTGATATAAAATTATCTAGATGTACATTTGATACTTACATTTTTACATTTCTTCTTTTAATACGAACTTTTCACGTGATTTCTGCTTACGTCGTTTATACGTGGGCACGGTTAATATCTTTTCGCGTGCGGGTGCTGTACGCTCAAGCTTTCGTCGTTCCTTCTTACTGTTTTTTCATAGCCAACATATAATCCGGTACATTGCATCCTGACGCGCGCATAACCGCCGCAATGCTAAGAAAAAAAACTTTTTTCTTATATTTATTACAATATATACAAATATGAAACAAAAGTCGATATGTACCTCCGTAAATTTACTGTATCCTGTTGCGTGAAGAACGTTATTGCTTGTCCTTTGTGCCCAGCGCGACCGGTACGACCTGCTAAGATATTAAAATAAAAAAGTTGATAGTGCTGTGGATCTGTGCCTTCTTGTTTCTCTAACGCGTACACTCTTGATACAATATGTGTAAATACTGATATGGTAATGCTACAGTAGTGAGTCAATATTATAACAGATGTAATGATTATTCTTTATATTCTATATGAGAGCTGTGGCCTCGTTTTATTGTTATGTTAAAACATGTTACTCGGAGCTGAGCATATTGTTAACAATGAAAAAGAAAAAAAGAATAGATTGTGAAACGTGCGATGCTCTGCATCGTGAAAAAAAAAGTAAAAATAGAAATACAGAATAACTCTGTTTTGGAGATTTATCGATACGTACCTATTCTGTGAATGTAGGAGATAGCGGATGGTGGAAAATCATAATTTATAACGAGATTTACGCCTTTAAAATCTATACCTCTGCCCATCAGCTCTGTACAGATCAAGACCCAGATCTTTCCTTCTCGGAAGCAACGCACGGTATTGTCTCGCTAAAAAAAACATAATGATTAATATATGATCAAACACAAGTGTGTGCGGGAGTGTCTTCTTTTGTAATACCTGTGTCATTGTTCTGTCGGCGTGAATAACATCCACGTTAATCCCATCGTAAATAAGCTCATTGAAAAGCTCCTGAGCTCTTTCTTTGCTTTGCACAAATACTAAGACCGGTGGTGATATGCCCTTTGTTAATTAGAAATATATATACAGTTATAAGTTACAATATTTAAGTATAATAATTGTAACTAAATCAAATTCATCATACCTTCTGAATAATGTTTCTGAATTCCACTAATTTACCTCTTTCACTACCAACAAATAGAAGCTTTTGATCTACCAAATCTGCAGCTGCGTTCCTGTAATAAGGAAATATTCCTGATTTTTATGAAATTTATTACAATTTTGAAGCACACACGCGCGCGCGCGCGCGCGCGCGCGCGCACATACACACACATACATACCTTTGTCCAACTGTTATTGTTACAAGACCTTTCATGTTACGACGACACCACTTTGATACCGTTGGAGTGTTCGTTGCACTAAACATACCACGACGTAAATCTTTATTAACGCAGGCTTTCGTAATCTCATCTAATTGCTCCCTAAAACCGCGTATTCCTTCTTCAAAAAGTTTATCTGCTTCGTCCACGATCAACCATTCAACACTGCAAAAGCAAAATAAGGATATTATATTGTATTCAAATCTAATCATAATCAACGAAGTATAATAAATTGTAAAAGACACATACTTATTCAATGAAATGGCTGGAGGATCTTGATTTAGAAGAAAGACTAATCGCTTTGGTGTAGTAATTAAAATATCTGTAACATAAATAAATCTTAGAGAAAAACTATTCTCTTTCAAACCTTTATTATTACATTATCTATTATACTCACCAAATTTTTGCGAGCTTGAGGGTCCATATTTAGTAAGAGCCTGATTCGCTTTGCTAATTATATGAATTCTAAAGTCACAGCCATCACTCAGTCTTAGACATTCTCTATATGTCTGTTTGGCTAACTCCCTCGTGGGACTTAGAATAATAGCACGAAAACCTTTCTTTTGTGGTCCACGTAAATGATGAATAATAGGTAATAAAAATGCTGCAGTTTTCCCTGATCCTGTTGGAGCACAAGCCAGTATCTGCCTACCCTATCATCAACAGAAAAAAAACAATTAAATATTGGCAATTTCAATTATGTGGCTTGTTGTAAAAATTTATTTACTTCCAACATAACTGGCATTGCTTGCATCTGTATTGGTGTTGGATATATGTATCCACTATTTTTCATATTATTCAACAAATTTTCTGGTACTTGATAATTTGTCCTCAATTCATCAAAATCTAGTATTAATTTAGGTACGTGACTGCCTGTGACTGAAATACGATTCATATTTCTCAAATGATTTATCTGAAAAATGTAAGATATTCCAAGTATATTATAAAAAGAACTGTTCATTTTTATTTCCCTTGTGTTATAGATTTCAAACCTTCTCTTGTTCCAGTTTCAACATCTTGTCAGCAGTCGCGACTTTTTTACGTTTTTTAGCTGGAACATTTTCATCCTTTGGTACTGAGAATCCATCCAGTAATGTTATTTCGTTAATATTTTTATTTTCATCTTTATATTTTCTTTTCGCATTATGCTCTATGTTAGGCTCTAATATTTCATCTGTTACTTTTTCTACCTTGATATCTATGTTTTTTTATTTGGCCTCACCATCTATATAAAAATACAGGATGTTAAAGAAGTGTTGGAAAAAAATTTCCGAGTATAAATAATTACCTGAAATCTTTCTGCATCTTGTCGAAAACGTTTTGTATCAAATTTTGCGCCGGCTGCGAGTTTCTTGAAAAGATCGTGAGCATCCATAATGTTAATATATATAAATAATTTAAAGAATTAGATATAATTACATAGATCACATGTAAACTTGCGGCATGCTTTTTTTTTTCTCTTTTCCTCCGGTTGGAGGATGTCGGATTAATTCCGACTATGTGTCTTCAACCCTAGGGTTATATAACACAGGTTTATCTAAATCCTTTATAAGTTTCTCTGTATTCTGTGATATTCTAGTTCAACTTTCTCTTTATCCACGTTTAGCTTTCTCTTTATCCTTAACAAATTGCATGACGCAACACAAAAATTCATGTGAGGACAAAAGACGTCCCACTCACTCGATGGCTAAAGACCAACTTCTTGCGGCATGCAATTATTTTAAGGTTAAGAAAGTAGGTAGATAAAGGAGAAAGATGATCAACAGTATCATGGTTTGACCAAAAATCGATAAAACAGAAAAACGAAAACGAGTCGATAAAGGAGAAAGAAGATGGCGGAATTCGGAAGTATCGAATATCTTTTTTACCTGAATGGATTTATAGAAAAAGTATATATTAATTCAACAATTTTTAATGTCACTTTATCAAATAAAGCTTCAAGAATGAAATGTTTTTAATTTATTTATATTTATTTTTTTTTTAATGAAAACAATCTCCTTCCTTGTTGTATTTCATATGTATTTACGTAAAGATGATAATATAGAGAACTATTCTCATAGAAGGTCCCATGGTGTAATGGTTAGCACTCTGGACTTTGAATCCAGCGATCCGAGTTCAAATCTCGGTGGGACCTGTCTTAAATTTTATTTTTTTATTACAATATTAATTTTTTTTCTTTTTTAATTATACAAACAATTGCATTGAAATTCGCAATTCACATATATATCCTAGTAAGTTTTATTAAAATATCAAGATGCATCCTATTAGATCCCACATGTTCGCCTGAACACATTCTAACCTAATCTTAATTCGACTGGCTATTCTTTTCATGTCACGCGATGATTCTTGTCAACATAAAAACAATGTGACATTTGTGTAGATGATGTGCTAAAACATTTTGGAAAGTTAAATTGACTACGAATTCGAGGAGATGACGGAGCAGGGCGATTCCGTGGTGGTTATCAAGGCGAAGCCTGTTCGTAAAGTTTTCAAAGCTCCCACGAGAGTTAGCAAAATTCCCGAGGAATTGTTGAACGATCCTCTGCTAAACTCTGCTATAGTAGCTTTGCCGACGAATTATAATTTCGAGATACATAAGACGATATGGAGAATCAGAGAGGCCAAGGCAAAGCGAGTAGTTCTCCAGATGCCGGAGGGCCTTCTAATGTATGCTACAACTATAGCTGATATCATCGAAGATTTTACTGAAGCAGAGACTGTTATTATGGCCGATGTGACCTATGGTAGAGCTAAATAATTCATTCAATGCCTTATGTTTAGCTTTTTTATATATTATTTATTTACAGGAGCTTGCTGTGTGGATGATTATACGACACGAGCATTGGACGCCGATTTTCTCATCCATTATGGACACTCATGCCTTATACCTGTAGATCAGACTGCTGGCATCAGAGTGCTTTATGTATTTGTTAACATAAAAATTGACATTTCCCATTGTATAAATTGTCTGAAGATTACTCTATCAGTTACCACAAAGATAGCACTAGTCAGTACAATACAGTTTGCTACAATGGTGCAAGCAGTAGCATCAGAACTAAGGAGGGAAGGCTATGAAGTCTCAGTACCACAGAGCAAGCCACTCAGCCCTGGAGAAGTATTTATAATATATTGTTTATCGTTTATGTCTAATTATAATATATAGTAGGCAATGACTTTTATAGATTTTAGGATGCACAGCGCCCCAGGTTCGTTGTGCCGATGCAGTGATCTATATAGGGGATGGTCGTTTCCATTTGGAAGCTGCAATGATCGCCAATCCTAAATTAAGGGCATTCAAGTATGATCCGTACGCGAAAAAACTGACTGAGGAGTTTTACGATCATAAGAGAATGCTGAGCACCAGGCATGAAGCGATACAACGCGCTATGAAAACTGATAAATATGCTTTAGTACTTGGTACTCTGGGCAGGCAGGGCAGTCCTAATGTATTGAGAACCCTGCAGAATAGAATTAAGGCTCTAGGAAAGGAAAACGTTGTGATATTACTATCAGAGATATTCCCTGACAAAATCAAGCTATTCAAAGATGTAGATGCATTCATACAAGTATGATCTGTATAATATAAATATATTAGATATTTTTTATTTGTTTTCCTCATTTCTGTATATTAATATTGCATTTATGTGAGAAACTCAAAAAATATTGAAATTAAAAAATATATAGATTTTAAAAAATATATAAATTTGAAAGAGCTATAAAGGAAAAAAGATATTTAACCGAGTTACTTAATTATGTAATTTAATATATAATTTAAAAGATGTACTGTGAATTATATTAATACATTTTATTCAAGATTGCGTGTCCACGATTGAGCATTGATTGGGGCGTTGCGTTCGAGAAGCCATTCCTTACGCCTTACGAAGGCGCCGTCGCACTTAGGATGGCAGATTTCGATAAGGATCGGCCCTATCCTATGGATTTCTACGCTACGATCAGCCTCGGGCCGTGGACTGCTAATCACAAAGAGTCCGAATTAGAAAAAAGCGACGCCTGCTGTGGTAAATGTAAAATGGATAAATAAAAAATCGAATACGTACTTCAAGTTTGTTATTATTTTATCAACCTGTTATATGAAAATATCTTCTCTCATTATATCGCGCATAGTTGCATAGCTTTTTAACAAGTTTTTCATTAAACGCAATGTAAATTCGAGCAGGTGCATTCGAGACCTGTTCGTATTAAACCCCCGTCATCCCTAAGTTGTTGCTAGCGGAGCGATAATGGGCAGATAGGAGGGTCCGCGTGGGCGAATTACGTCATACGCCCACCTGTAGCCCGTTCACACATAGACACTGGCATACTGTCGATATAGGGTGTACTAGTAAAGCTTAATACCGACTCTTCTCCTTTCTTCCACTCTTGCCATCAGAAAAAAAACATTTAAACATAAATTTTACATCTTCAGTTTAGGAATAATTTTTACAAATTTTTATCGAGAAATTCGTGCGTATCGTATGAAAGAAATGAAACTGTAACCATTTACAGAAAGAAATGAAACTGTAACCATTTACCATGGCCAAGATCGTTAGTCTGTACAAATTTATGATTTATACGAATTAAAATATTCTCAGATATTGTTTAAAATAACGGAATTGAATATTCATTATTTCTCATTACTAAAGGGGGTATTTTATAAGAATAGTACATATACACGAATACACGATAAGATAATTGATGTGGATGAGGAAAAGGAACACAGAGTATATGACGAAATACCGGGGGTGGAAGGCGGCGCCGGCCGCACCCCGGCGACGCGACGTCAGTCGTTGTTCCAGCGTGGCTCAACAAGTACACGCGGCGCTTAGACTACGGTTTCAAATTTTGGAAAATCTTGACGCGACTTGTCATACAATTATTTAACGTTAAAATGCATTAAATCGACGAATACAGCATTGAGCGTGAGAGGAAGATCGCACATCGTCTTTTACATCGATCAATCAACGATCTAATCATCAATATTGATAAAAAGTAAGTCATGAAAAATGATCAATTTTTACACTCATTCATTTTTACATTCATTCTTATCTGCACTAGTTCTTTTGAAATTTAAATTTCAAAGAGACAATAAATCGAAGAACACATAGATTTAGAAAAGAATATTTAAAAATAAATTGTTTCGAAATTGAAATCAAAGAGAAATTTAATTATTGCTTTTAGAAGAAATACTAGAAATACTATGCGGTCTAAGGTGACGAACGAAAATACTTGGGAGACAAAATGGACTACAGAATCGTCACAGAGTGGTAGAAAACTGCGACGGACGACGAAAAAAACGGATTCTTCGGGATTGAAATTGTCAAAGCCTTCCAGGGGAAATACGGCACGAGAGAGAACTCTCAGAAGACTGGAAAGCAACGAACGGGAACGTATGCGAATGCACAGCTTGAATGATGCATTTCAGGTACACAAAGCTATTATATATTTGAAATACAAAGCTGATAATACAATAAAAATTATTAAAGAAATGTTTATCGCAATAAATATTTATTTTTAATTCTTTTCAAAGAAAATGCATAAAATATACAATATAAAATATTCTAGACATATCCAAGACATCTCTAGCTATATCTTGTATTAATAAAATCTTTTTTTCTTTGTAGTCTTTACGCGAAGTGATCCCGCATGTTACCAAGGAGAGGCGACTTTCGAAAATTGAGACATTAACATTGGCTAAAAATTATATAGTGGCACTTACGGATGTAATATGTGCCATGAGAAGTGAGGAGCGATCGGAGGATCAGCAGAGTGGCTCTGAAAGTCGCCAAGATTCGTCAAACAGTGAGCAGCGATTGGAATCCACTACCGTTCGCATGAATATTCCTATCGCCACTAGATCCTGTAGTTCGGGAACTCAAAATTTTTATCAAAATAATCATTCGCGGTGGGAAAATGACCAAGGCAACATTACAGGTCTTTGAAAAGTTATGATGCTAAATGATACAAAGATAATGCGCGAATTGAGATCTTAAACGGCATTTTGACTAGTCTTCCCTTCCTTAATCGTGCATGCGTTTACATCTTAAAAAGTTCCAATATCTAATGCGTCTCTGGCAAATCTTATCAAAATTAATGATATATATCTTACGACTGATATAATAATCTAAGAAAATACTACGTGTGTGCCAAAGAAAGATAGTATTTATTTTACAGAAACGAATAAAAGTATTATGTAGATATTAATGTATAGTAATGTTACAATATTTTATTTTGAATGTGACAAGACATTATTTTTTGGTAATAAACGATAGAAAGAGAAAAATTCTTCAGAAAAAATTTTATATTAATATATAAATGTTATATATATATATATATATATTATTATTATTACATTGAATTACATATATTCATATATATTTTCAAATAATTAACAAAATTGTATAAATTTTTATATGCTTTCGCGAATGGTATAACGAAACTATAAAATTGTATTTCTTATAAATCACTTTGCAAGAAATTCTTATATTTTTTATTTTTATTCTTTATTAAATAACATTAAATTATTTTATATATGTGTGTGTCATTAAAATATATACAATGAGAAACGGGCTATCTAATTATAATAAATAATTATATATTTATTATATAAAATATATGTTATATAATATATATATTCAGATAAATAAATTTAATTATATATTTAAAAAACTTGATTGAAATTTTATATTAATTTTCTATATTCCTTAGAGTAAAGAGATCATGCAACATTGTGTTATTCATGTTTCATTGTAACATAATATACAATTGTTTTACCTTTTATATAATACAAATTATGTCAGCCCATTACCGAATGAAATAGGCTGCGTCGTTAAGTCTCGTAAATTGACTAGCACTGCCGTTTTTGTTTCCGAAAACTTGGGAATACATATCAGCCTCGTCGCATGTCCATCGTCGGCTACGGACAACATACATGAATTATTTCGCATCAACAAAACTTGATAATCGGATCAGATAAAAAGATTCTTACCTGTAATTAATTTTGTATTATATTCATCCATGTTTCCTGCAAAATATATATCTGGGCATTCGTTTATGACGAATGGATCATTTTTAAAGAACGGATAAACTGGAAGCGTGTCGGGGCCGGTCGGAGCGTAATGCCTCCAGATCAAGGTACGCTCTAACCAGTCCAATGGGGATAACTGAGATAATCCAGCGATCTTCATGATATCCATAATCGGTCCGCCGCAAGAACCGGCTACAATACGGCCTCCGATATTTCCGATCCAAGGATTAGTTGCACCATGCATACTTTTGAACCTGAATTGTATTATATCTGAATTGTATTATGTAAGAGAAGTGTGATAGTCACAAGAGAGACTGAAGTATATATCAGCGCTACCTGGACGACTTTTGCAGAGTGCATGGATGAAAGGGTTGTTGAGGCATGCTGTAATTGCAAGTGGGATCGAACTCTCCCGGCATCAGCACAACGCAACAGCAATGAAGAATATTGCTAAGAAAAATGTCAAGCTTATGCATCGCTATTATGTCTTCTTTGATTTTAAGCTGATCGTGCGATTTGATTTCGTGATAGCCTTTATAGCTGTATATCTTCGCGGAACCACGAATGGAGTTACCTATATAATTTATTTGTATACAAATTATTATGGTTGTTTAGAAAGTATGAAAGTATGAATGTTTACAGCATAATTCTTACCAGCGATAATCATTCTAGTGATTACAGCTTCTTCTTCCTGAGCATTGGCACATCCCACCATCCCGGTTATCCATTCCGAAAGTAAATCTAAACTAAACTCATTTGTATTATTAACTAACTCTAAGCCAGATACTAACAAAATCTTCCCATCTTCTATCAATGAATCGCTCGAATTGCAAGACTTTGGGCAATATCCTGGAAAACACCAATCCTCTACCTAGAGCAAAGTTTTATATTAGAAAATTCAGATTCTTCCTTATAAACAAATTACATAGATATATACCCAAAATGTTCCATTTTCTAATTCATGTCCAAGCACTGCACAGACAAGCCCTGTAACTATCTCCTGTATATTCATATGATTTCCTACTAATCTTATGCGTAACGTTTCATCCTCCAGAAATAATTTGTCATCATTTGATGCATAATTGTTACTCGGCTGAACTTCCAACTGTAATTCTTTGCTGAGATCACGTAATAGAGAAGGTTTCAGTTTCTGATCTTTATAGAGTACACCTATCAAAATACAAGATTTTTCTGGACTTTCTAGGGCCAAATGTGATACTTCTACATATGGATGATCGCCTAAAATATATGTAAAATGTAATAATGTAAACAATGCAACGTGGAAAGATTCTAGACTTAAAAATATTGCTTACTCCAGTTCAGTTTCGCTCTGCGCAATGTGTCTTCTCGCAAATCATTCAATCTTGCTGTATATATATTGAGGGAATTATCATTGTACTTCCTCTCTGTTAACTTAAATCTGCTCAAATCCTTGAAGGAGACAATCTTCCGGTGATACTCGCACGAATCGTCATCCTTCATTCCTTCGTCGAAAATCTAACTTTTTTTTGAAATTTTTCGAAATCACATTCGTACAATAAAATCACACAAACAGCGTCATTGTCAGAGATAATGAATAAAAAAAAGAAATGTTGGCAGTAGCGTTTTCTTGTTTGCTTGTCATTTTTAGTTTTAAAAGTCTGCGAACGGTGAGCAGAAACGCGTTTTAGAAAGAACGTATGATCGTGTTGATGTTGCGCCACAAAGTGTAGAAAGTGTAAATAGATGAATCTGTTCTCTTTTTTATTCTGCACTTTTCTCTTATTTTTTTCGACAATCGTATGATCATACACATATATATATAAAATTTACTCCTGAGTCATTTTAACATTATATTAAATTCTGATGATACATGTAATTATATTTAATTTAATTTTAAGAATTATTAATAGAAGTACACTATAGATGCCGTGCTTGTGTTTCTCCAAAAATGGAAAATTGATTATGAATGAATTACAGTAATATAAATGGACATATTTTTACTAATAAGATATTTTTACTAATAAGATGACATTTAGAAAAATTAATTAATTTTTCATATAATGTATTAAAAATATATTTATGTTTATATTACATGTATTATACATTTGATTTGATTTATTCAATCCACATTCTTTCCTGTATCACGATCATTAAATGAACTGGATAAATCTTTCCAAATATTATCCTTACATGTTATATATTTATCCTTACATGTTATGTAACATTTAACATTTAGATTACTTCTCAGTTGTGTATGTATCGTATCATTATTCATATCTCATATTAGCAATACATTATTACATGTCATTCATACATATTATCTTTTTTAGTTAAGCTAAAGTTACAGTTACAACGAAAATATTTAACACATTTCTTTATTTATGTTCAGAAAGAAAATTTTAATAATTTTTGTCATTAAATTACTTTTTCAATCAAATGTTAGAATTGAAATTGATTAGAGATCTATCATTTTAAGGAACTCTTTGAAAATTCTAAGAAATCTCTAGTAGAAATCTTAAAAGTGCAATTAATAACAATATTAGCCACAGCAATGACTTATTGTTAATTTTTAAACAATTAGACAACACAAACGCGCGCGACGCATGCGCAATATATTTTTCTAAACGGAAGGAATAAAAATTAATATAATAATATTACTATAAAATAATAATATCATTACTAACCTTTTCTTATACTTAACACATACAACTATTGAAATGGTCTTCGTGATGACAATCGTTAACAAAGTTAGTGCAATGAGAAAACTAATCGATATCACGGAAAAGAAGCAACAATAAACTTGCGAGAGATGCGAGTAATCGATTTTACATGCTTTTTTAAAACTACATTAAAATAACTTAAACTAAAATTATTTAAAAATAATAATTGAAATAATGTATATATTAATAAAAAAATAAAATAAAAAATATAAAAAAATGTCAAAAGATCAATAGCGCGTGCAAAGCGCATATTTAATCTAGTATTCTAGCATTCGATCACAAACAATATAATATCCGAAATCGGAAGACTTTAAAGAGTAAATCTATCTTTAAAGTTTGTAAAATTTTAAAGAGATTTTATCTTCTAATTTTAAATTTAAACATTACATTCACTAAAACTGATCAATTAGTAGAGATAATTAAATACGTAATAACACGTGTAATTAAACACAGAAGGATATGACTATGCTATATATTCGAAGTATATAATAATATTTATATGTAAGCTAAGATTCATGACCTCCGAGCTTTTCTAAATAGTTTCGTTAGGTATTCCGTCTGACATAACGATATAACATATTTAGTAACGCTCGCTCTGTAATACTATCCGGACGTAATGGCAAAAAAAGACAGTTGGGTGTGGCAATATTTTAAAAAAGAAGGCAATAAAATACGATGTAAAATATGTAATGTTGATTATACATTATTTACTTCTAACATAACTAATATGCATAGAGCACACTTATACGCACATGACATATCTAATAAAGAAGCAGACGAAGAATGGAAAAACGAACCAGTTAAATCTGACTCAGTCTGGCAATTTTTCACAAGAGGTAAACCGTACACTGCGATATGCAATATTTGTAATCGTGTATTGCGGCATGCATACCTCGAAAAACTTTTAGTCATACACCATAAATATCATAATATAGAAACGGAAACTACAATAAAAGTTCAACTGTCTTGGCTTTCTAAGTATTTCAAACTTCCCATAAAGGATAGAAAAATATATTGTATTCCTTGTAAAAATTTCATAAGTATATCAAAAAAAGAAATTTAGACGATCATTTGTCTCAATGTCATAAAATAATTGAAAATAATGAAAGTACGGAAAGTGCGGAAGGTACGGAAAGTACGGAAAGTGTACAAAGTACGGAAAGTACGGAAAGTGTGGAAAGTACGGAACGTACGGAAAGTGCGGAAGGTACGGAAAGTACGGAAAGTGCACAAAGTACGGAAAGTACGGAAAGTGCGGAAAGTACGGAAAGTACGGAAAGTACAGAAAATGCGGAAGATGCGGAAAGTTCGAAAAATATAAAAAGTACAAAAGTTTAAAAACTATAGGAAGTACAATTACGAGGATACAATGACTAGGATATAACGAATCAACCAAATCAAGTGTGAGTACAAGCTTTTGGTTTATTACGAAACATTTGTTTAGGTTAAGGATGTCACTGATAAATATTAGAAACATTATTTTCATCTTCCATAAAAATACACATCAAATTTTATAATAAATATGTCAAGTATTCCATTCTCATTTAAATAGAAACATGTTTCCAACGCGAATAATATTTCAATAAAAATTCGATTATGCAAACATTTAGATATGTAAGAAATATATATTATAAAGAAATAATATATTTTGAACTAATAATCAAATAATATAAGCGAAACATTTCATTATACATAATACTAATTATCAAATATTAATTGCAGATTATAATCCAACTTATAAACAGCAAATAATAGCAGAGGTAAGACATAAATTTAAAATTAAATATTAAAATCGATAATATATTAAATAACAATAATGTCTTATACTTTAGTGTCTTATACTTTAAATACTAAATAATAACTGGATATAGAGAAATTTCATTTGATAATGATAGACAAAATGAGAATTATATATAAAGGTATATATTTCTACTCAAGATTCGTATTTATCTTCAATTTCTTCCTAATAATTTCATCGGGTATTCTTTCTAACATTATTGACGCACATAATAGAAGAAGAATTTTATATATATATATATATATATATATATAAATTCTTCCATTATGTGCATATATAAGGACACAAGAGAAAAATTGAGCAATTTCAAGTTAAATAATACTTCAAAGTTGTAACATTGTTTATCATACTAACTATCTCGATATAAACTATACCGATCTTTTTTTGAAGGCATATTTACACCTTGTCTATAATATTTAATAAAGAAAACAAACAGTGGAGAAAAACATTGATATTAATATGACTTGGTGATATTATGAAAAGAGGAAACATGTATTGCAAAAGGCAAACTTTATGGTTACAAAAATTTTATATATATAACAACAATCTTAGACAATTTCTTTTTCCTTGACGTATGTAGGAGAAGTGAGCAAAATTTAACTGAATATAATTAAATCTCTGATCGATATCTGACTAATTATGTCTGATTAACACGACATTTTACGACATTTATGATGTAACCATATGAAAATGACAAAATGCAATTATTGCAAATGCAATTTAAAAATACTTCCCACAATAAAAAACATGAAGTATATTTATTAAATTTTATCAAATTTTGATATAGCAAATTACAAAAAGGAATAAAAAAAGACACTGTAAATAAGAAATAGATTTTGGATGTAATTATCGATAGCTGAAGAGAATAATAAAAACACAAATTCTCAACAAAATAATACATATTTGAAAGCCGCAGACAAAGAGGACAATTAAAACTAAAAATGGTAAATTTTACAAGTCTTATTTGTAATTATATTGTCTTGGAAAATTTAAATTACATTTTTGCTTATACATATCAGAACCTACATATTAGGCACATTATTATAAAAATGTTGACATTAATTATATGTGTCTTAATATTAATAGTATATTATTTTATTTTTTATACATCTTTTGATATATTGAAACTTCAATATTCTAAATCATTGTATCGTCAATATAAAAAAAGTACATATTAATAAGATATAAAAAGCCTTTAATTTATATTCATTGTTATCTATTTAGTATATACATTTAATACATTTTGGAATATGTGCATTCCTAAATGCTGATAACTGATTTTAAACATATAATTTTATGAATAATTAAAGAAAATTCCATTTTCGTATAATAATAATAAAATAGTATATACGATTAAAATATAATTCTATATTAACTATATTAAGGTGATTCTTGTTTTTCTATTTAACTCACATTGGCTTGCAGATTAATGACTTCAGAATAATTAAAGAACATTAATACACATTTCGAAATAAATGTTGAGAGCGAATCCTGTATCAAGTAACAACGTCCTTATATCAGATCTTGAAATTCACATTAAGAAGCACATTGAAGAGAGCTACATCCATGCCGAGAAATTGTTTCTTTTTCGTACATTATAAACTGAAATTTTACCGAAAACTTTAACCGAAAATTTTATCGAAAAATTTAACCGAAAAATTAAATATGAAGATTTTCATCAAATATGTAATTCGTTGTGTATTTCGTTATTTATTTTAAATTATTAAGTAATTAATCAAATATTTCAAATAGTTAAATTTTATGTTTAATGTAATTCAATTTTATGTATCAACGTATTACGTAAAAATTTTTGTAATATTTACATATTTATTATATTTTATATTTTGCTATTATATTTAAATTAGGACTATAACTATTTAAATAATTAATTTATTTACAAGAATTCAAATTCAGATGATATAATTTAACAATAAATAATCTTTATTTGAAGAGATTTATCTTTAAAAGTTGAATAGTTCTAATTTATATATAATATAACTCATTTTATCATTTTAAAATAACTCATTATACTATTGTATTAAATTGTAGTCATATGTAATCTTTATATTTAATTTAATTTCAGAACCATTAATAGCACTTTAGATGTTGTGTTAGAATTTTTTCGAAAATTGATATATTACAAATGACTTATAATGATATAAATGGACGCATTTTTATATATTATATTAATAAGACGAGAGATTTATAAAAACAACTTGATTTATTTAGATTACAAAATATATTGCAAGATGTAACAAGACTTAATTTATTTATTCACATTCTCTTACCTATCAATTCGATCAATAAACAGATTGGATAAGTCATTTTTACTAAATAATATATTATTTATTATGGAATATTTGAATTAATTCTTATACTTGCATATCTTTACATATATCTCATTTCAACAATATTATAATATGTCATACATAATAGCACATAGCAACTTCATTTAATTAAACTGAAATTAAACCGGAAATGTATAACACATTTCTTTAATTATGTTCTATAAAAAAGTTTTAGAAATCTTTATTATTAAATTTTTTTAAATCAAATGTTAGAATTAAATTTGATTAGATATCTCTTTAAGAAATTCTTTGAAAAAAATCTCAAATAAAATACAAATTCCGACTAATTGACTAATTATATTAGCCACAGCAACTGACTTATTGTCATTTCTTTGACTTGTTTCAAACACAACAATATTTTTATAATCGCGATGGTATTTATTTTTACGATAGCATGATAACGAAATTATATTGGGACATTTAGTACAAATTTAGTACAAAAACAGATTATATGTCCAAGATTATATGTCCATTTTCTAAGATTGGAATAACTTAATATTTTATATCTATCATCTTACATCTAATGTGAATGTAGTTGAATATCCAAGAAAGATTTAAAACTTTAAATCTGTCGAAATACATGTCGAGGTATTCATCTTGAATTAGAATTGATTAGAACTAATTTGTATTAAAAGAGCATATTAAAGAGATATTTGAATGTCAGTTGGTTATATCATTATTTTGCAATGTTGTTGGGTTCCCTCATTATTTCGTGAGCGGATATTAAATAGAGATAATGCATTTTGATAGTTATAATATTTTTATGCATATATTGTACGCATTTTTAAGAAGGAGAGATAAAGAGTTGTTTAAAAATATTTTATTTCGAATCTTCTTTAGTATTTTAATATTAAGATATTAAAGATTGAAGCGTATGATTATATAAATAATTTCAATCGTAAATAATTTTAATGCGATAGTTGGTAACATAAAATAAATGTATGGCGATTGGATTGTCACGATCTCAATGGCAAAATATGGATTTCGCATCGGACCATCGAAAACAAGAAATATGCGTACACACAACTACATGCGTATCATCTGATCGCTTGTCAACATGGGTCAAAACAGAGGGGAAAAAAAATCATACACAAGATATTTCAGGTGATGAGGAAATTAAGAAAACGATTTCAGATTTCGGTGTAATTGCATTTATTAGATTAATATTTGATAAAGATGGAACAGAGCCATGAGGCACAATATTGAATACTGATTGCCATGAATACTTCGAATTGCTCAGCATGAAATTGAACAGCCAACAGATAAAGTATGGTGATTTAATAATTTTTTTAAAGAATTCGTGATTACATAATCTAAGGGCAAGATGGAAAGATGAGAAAAAAATCGTGCGACATATCTCAAGTTCGCAAGAAGAAGATTCGACCGGCGGACACAGATGCGAGTAGATGTGTTAATTCATATTGTAATAAACAGCATACAATTTAACTTTCGGGAGAATTTCATTTATTTACCTTTGCCACTGTGTCCGAAAATTCTCCACAACCAAAGCCAATACCAAAAATTTGGTACAATATTTTTGAATTTTATATCTACTGAAAAACTTATGCCACAAAATAAATAATGTGATTGCAGCACACGTCTGTAGAATCAAAATTTTTCATGCTGAAACTCAAATTTCAATGTCAACGTTTTGATTATAAATTTAAGTAAAATTAAAAATTTAAATATACTTTTA